CAGAGATACAGAAGATAGCACGGATAGAAACTGGCAAGTGATTAAATGAGGTGGGAGTCGGGGTGAGGGAGGGGTCATTATTATGACTTTTGGGTTCCTTATTTGAGCAAACAGAAATGGAGTTGACCGGGACCAGGAATACAAGGTTATATGGGGTCAGAGAATTGAGGCCTGGGGGCGGTCACCATCCTGGCACTGAAACAACGGATGAAATGAGCACCCACTCTTTGTCCAATCCCAGCTCTCAGGTCCTTGGTCACCAAAATCGAGACTGGAAATTCTTATGTGTATTTTGATAATCTCGTGTGGAAAAAAATCATTTTTTTACAAAACTCTCCCGAGTGAGATAGATCATCTCAAGCATGAAAAGGGCCACTTGTGCTGTGGGTAACAATGAGAAAAATCATCTTCGTGCTAAATTTGCCTTTCCCTTCCCTTACCTCATAGCAGACTCTGCCAAGACCACTATGATCAAGTTTCTGTTCCTCCCTCCAACCCTCCGCTGCAACTTTTGGCTGTGCAAGACGAATACTTCCATATGGTGCAATGTTTATGTTAAGACGGGAAAAAACATGAAATGCTTTAATTTTATCCAAGAAGCAATAAATTTACAAATCCTAAGCAGCTGGAACAAAATATTAGTCTGTAATTGATTTTGGATGAAGTGTATTTCAACAAGAATAGGAAATTTGGGGCAGTAACTTCTTAACTACTGATGTCTAGGGATCTTGGGTATCTTCATACTGTATTCCATAAATGTAATCTCGGACAGATTATTTGATATCCTGGACTTCTGTCTCATCTATAAAGTGGGTTTAGCAATTTTACCTATTCATGGGTTTTTTTGTGAAGAATAAATGAGCTAATGCAGGTAAAGAGCTTAAAAAAGTAGTCATCAGATAGTAGGCACTCAGCAAATGTTAGTTCTTCCTCTTCTTACCTATTAAGCTAGGTGACAAGGGAAGGGGAATGGGATGAAGATGGGGATGGGTGAAGAAAAGGACAGAAAATAGCTTACAAGAATGAAGGTTTTTAGGATTTATCTATGAAGAATGCCCGCTGCCACCTCAGAACTGTAGACGCAACAAAATCTGTGTGAGTTCATGGGGTTGTTAAAAAAGATTTCGGGGGAAGAGTGTCAGGGAGTGTAGTACGTGAGGCTTGTAGAACCAGGAGCTTTCTGATACGCATTTTGGGCCATCATTCACTTTCATACCTATTTAATTCACTGGGACAGATGAGAGCAGGAGGACAGAAGGCAAGAGTATTAAAAAACCTGAGTTGTCTAGCGGAGATGATTTGACACGCAAAAACTACCCCAGGTCGATGTGAAGTCAGGGGAGAAAAAGGCAAATTTAGCACGAAGATGATTTTCTTACTGTTACTCACAACACAAGTGGCCCTTTTCATGCTTGAGAATGAAATAGGATTTTATTCTATTGACTCATTATTACTTTGGACAAACTGCCAACTTTTGTTTTAGTTTTCTAATCAAAAGCACAAAGACCATTCAGAACGATTTTTAATGTCTTCTACTTACACAGCTTTTACATTTACAAAGCATTTCTATACTTTTTAAAATTAATACTGATAAAAATCAGGCAAAGTCAATATCATTAGCTCTATTTTAAAAGAGCAAATATTTAGTGTATATTTACTGCGTGTCAGGTGCTATACTAAACGCTTTACAAGGATGTCTTATCCTTTTGACAAACCTATGAAGGTTATACTATTATCACCTGAGTCTAGAAGAGAGCAGCTTAATAACCCTCCCAAGGTGACCCACACAGTAAAGAGCAGAGCCTGGATTTGAATCCACATCGGTCTGACTTCAAAGCCTGCTTCCTAAGTCCTAATCACTGCTTTCTGATGTTGAAAGATAATCAGATACACGTTCTTTCCTAGTATGACAATACTTTTACTTTGAACTCAGCCTATTATTTAGCCATGTAAACAACTGCTGTGAAATTATACAGAGATACTAAACGTCTTGATGTCCACTTCCATATTGTGCTCCTAGAATTGCTCAAGACAGATGTACATCTCAACGTACCTTGCCCTCCCCCAAGGTTATAACAATCTGTATAAGACCAATCACTGTTTAATAAAGTTTCCAAATACCTAAAGTACTTGGTAAGAATCTGTTTCTTATTTACTTATAATACAGTTAATAGTTGTAGGTAAGAAAATGTAAGCACAATTTTACTGAAGAGGAGCTACCAATCTTTTGAATGGTTCAATAATACAAAGGACAAAAACCTGATCAGAAAAATGTCTCTTTATTTCATTAAAAAAAAAAAACCCAAACCTGTTCAATATCCCTCCCCCTCATGCAAACAGCTCTCACATGAGATTCTTCAAATTTTACGTTTTTTCCATTCCGGCTCATTCTTTGCTTCCTCATCATCAGATTCAACCTGGGCAAACATGGTTTTGGGCTGAGTCCTAAAAGAAAGTTAAAGAGGAGAGGAAAAATTTAGTCAGCAAGTGTGCATTAGACTTTGCTACTTTCAACAAGTGGAAGCACATTTGGGGAATCAATTATATCTCAATTAGTAGATAATCATTAAACTTCAGGCAAAGAAAAGGATAATGGAAATTTAATTATGTTCAGATTCTTTTAAAGGTTCTTCCTTCTGTGGCAGACTATGTATGTTGTCCTTTGCTTCAATAAAATGAAAATGTATCAAAGTCAGTGGAAACTCATACATCCATTAACCACCCTCAGTTTAACGAGTACTGCTCAGGGGGCCAAACTATAGTCACCAAGCAAGAATCGACACAGTCTTTATTTATAACTCCCTGGGCTGTTCCTAGACTTAAGTACAGCAGTCCAAATACACGTGATTATGGTGCACACAAACAGGAGAATCTGAGTCAACAGTTTTCTTATTTAATGAGTTTAAAATAATAGATAACACATATAGTAATTTGGGCCTGGCAGCAAAAATAAAAAACAAAACAAATGAACATTCCTTCTACCAAACACCCAGATCAGTGCATGGAAATGACAAGCATTTTAGGACATATCACTGTGTATCACTGCTGTAATACTGGCACACGGTACATCAAGCAATCTTTGCATTAGGACCTGCTGTGTTTTGTAAACATACCTGGTTCAATGACCCTCCTTTTTACAACGTTCACACAGAAAATAATTGCAAGAAAATATCAAATGGTCATAATTTATGCCCCTTTCAGTCATGCTACTGCTGATTTCCTTTTAAAAGCAGCTCTACTGCATTATGAGGAAACATTAAAGCATGATATCTGAAGATGAAACACTTTAGCTTACATCATCATTTAGAGTTCAATTCATAATAGTAAGGTAATTGCAGAATGGTAAAAATAATGTCAATAATTCCTTTTATTTGGCAAGTGAAACAGGGTTAAAACCTTATATTACTAAACAGGTGGTTGCCGGAGGGGAGGTATAGGGAGGAGAGAAATAGGTGAGGGAGATAAAGAGGTACAAACTTACAGTTATAAAATAAATTGAGACACTGGTGTGAAATGTATGGAGTGGGGAATAGGGTTGATAATTATGTAATATCTTTGTATGATGATAGATAGTAACAAGACTTATCATGATGCTCCCTGTGAAATGTATAGAAATATCAAATCTCTATGTTGTGTACCAGGAACTAACATAGTGTTTTAGGTCAATTGTATTTCAAAACAAACAAACAAACAATTTCAGAGAAAAAGAGATCAGATTTGTGGTTATCAGCGGCGGGGATTGAGGGAGGGGGAATTTGAGGAAGGCAGTCAAAAGGTAACAACTTCCAGTTAGGAGACAAATAAGTACTAGGGAGGTAATGTACGACATGATAAATATAATTAACCCTGCTTTATGCTATATATGATAGTTGTTAAGAGTAAATCCTAAGTGTTTTCATCACAAGGGAAAAAACTTTCTGTTTAATTTTGTGTCTGTATGAGATGATGGATGTTCATTAATTAAACTTATTGCGGTCATCATTTCATGATCCGTGTAAGTCAAATAATTATGCTGTACACCTTAAACTTATACAGTGCTGTATGTCAATTATATCTCAATAAATCTGGAAGGGTAAAAAAAAACCCTTATATTACTTCTTGCTCTTCCTTTATTATCCTGGGGAAGAAGTATAAACCATCCACATTCCACGCTGATGTTGTTCTGATGCAAGCCATGTACTAGAATTCCTCATGCATAAGTCAGTCACAATTCCTGTCTCTCCAGTTACCTGCCTAGAGAGCCCAAGCTGTCCCCATACACAATCCAGTTGGTTATATTTCTTGTTGTCACTTCAAGACACTGTTATGACATCTATAAACAAGTCATAGCCCTAACATTTCCAAAACCAGCTGCAGATTTTCATAGGTCATGAGTTGCTGAATTACTAGAAAGCAGGCCACTGGCTTTCTAAGATGCTACAACAAGGCAACCGGTGCGCATGACATATTTCGTCTTCTGGCAAAGATGTCGAGCCCTTGGGTATAGACAAACCTGTACAGGAACAAATTTGTCTGGTTTAAAAAATCCTTTGGAAGCCTGAAGCTGTAAGGAGTCCTTGAGCTAAGCCTCAGGTGGGGGATTCATTCCCAGTTTGGCCACTGACTTGCGCTGTCACCTGGAACAGGTGTTTCCCCTCTCAGGGGTTTAGTTTCCTCCTCTACCAAATGTGGAGGTTGAACTTGATCAGTGGGTCCCAAAGGACTAAAGGCCCAGGGCAGACAATGATGAAGTGTGTGTTTTAACATTAATTCAAGTATAATACAAATAGAAAAGTGCATATTTCATAAATGTCCTGTTTTCTGGATCTGCACAAATTGGACATACCATGAAACCAACACCCAGATGAAGAAACAGAGTATGACGAGCACCTCCGAAGCCCCTCATACTCCCTTCCAGTTACTAACCCCAGACCCGGCGTAACCATATCCTGACTTCTGGCCACATAGATCAGCCCCACCTGTGTTTGTCCTGTCTCTGTATGATCCCTAGAGTGTTCACTATTTTGTGCCTGGTTTCTTCCGTTCAGCATCATCCACAGTGCTGTGTGTAATAAGGATGTTTGTAACCATATATTCCAAAAATTGCAAAAAAAAAACCCCAAAGGCAATACTGTGAATTTTACCGTGAGTTAAAATGTGTTTAAGTTAAATGACTGTCCTTTATTCTGAGATAATGTTCTTCTACCTATTTTGTAATAAGATGTGCTGGAAGTTTAAAAAAAAACAATCCTTAGAATTAGCTACTTAATTTCTAAGGGAATAAAAAGAACATGATCTTCTAAAGGTACCTGGCAATGCTTCATAGCTCATCAATGTTAGCTGCAATGAGACTTAAGTACTTAAGAAGTTGCAGTGCTGCTTTTTTTGGATATAAAAAAGGCTGAATGACAGGTCACGGGAAGAAAACCTAGAGCTTGAAAAGGCTATTTCATTTATGTAGTCACTTTTTAAAATAATCCACCTACTTCCAGAAGTATTTTTAGTAGGTTGGTGGCTAACATTGAAGGGCACAGAATCAATGGAACTATTCAACAAGGGTCAGAAAGGGAGTAATGATGGCAAAGAGGCATGGGAGAACATTTTGGGGGAACAGAGACATTCTATAATCTTGATTGAAGTGGTGATTACACAGGTGTATACATTTGTCAAGACTTGAAATGGGTGCATTTTGTACTTTATTGTAACTAATTTATAAAGAAAATCAAAACAAAAAAATGAGTCAAAGGTCAAGAACAAAAGAACAAAAAGGTATGTAACTAAGCGTAAAACTTAGCACTAAATTTCCTAGAAGCCAAGGCAAAAGGAAAAGAAAGAGATTAGTTTTTCAAAGGAGGTAACCTCCCCTGCCCCAGGCACTGAACTCAGCAAAATTCACTGAGAAAATGTTCATACCAGGGTCACTTCGACTGTCACTTTCAATTACCAGACCACGACAGTTTCCTTTTCCTCTCTAGGTATTTTAACTTAAGGGATATCAACTTGTTTGGAAGGTTGAATGGTCTCCTTTGTGAAACTCCATGAATTTATTTTAAATTCCACTTCCGAACTAATAAAAATGTTGTCAGCAAAATAGCCATATTATGTATACACAACATCAAATCATGACACTTAGCTTTCATGTTCCACTTAGCATTCAACAGCCATGCTCCCCTTCCCCAAACTGCCAAAATCAAGGCATAAATCAGTGTCCAAATTTGCCCAGCAATGCTTGCATACCACTTTTCCTTTCATTTCGCTGCCCAGGGAGATAATAACTGAGTGTAAGAACTAGGCTCCTTTCAACAAATAATGTTGGGGAAATTGTATATCCATATGCGATGAAATTGGACCCTTACCTTACACTATATACAAAAATTAAATCAGCATGGATCAAAGACCTAAACCTAAGAGCAAAAACTATAAAACTCTTAGAAGAAAACATAGGGGAAAGTTTTATGACATTGGATTTGGCCATGATTTTTTTGACATGACACCAAAAGCGCAGGCAACAACAAAAATAGGTAAACTGGACTGCATCAAAATTAAACACTGTACATCAAAAGACAAAATCAACAGATTAAAGTGAAGAGTGGTTATTTAGTGGGTATAGAATTTCAGTTTTGCAAGATGAAAAGAGTTCTGGAGATTGCACAACAACGTGAACGTATTTAACACCACCGAAATGTACACTTAATAATGGTCAAGATGGTAAATTTTACGTGATGTGTATTTTACCAAAATTAAAAAGACAAAAGAGTAGGCTCCTGAACTTGGGAATAAGGAAGAATGAACCCCCTTCCTGGGACAAAAAGGGGGCTCCTAGGAAAGGGCCTTAGCCTCCAACTTGGGGCCATGCCTAAAGCAGTGCTTCTCAAATCATCTGTGGTGCAAGGCCAGACTTTGTTTTCTAATTTCCCACTACTTGCAGATAAATATTTCTAGAAAAATTAAAAGACTACAAAATACAGATCCAAAATTTTTATTAGATTCTATAAATATATCAAATTGCTATAAAATTTTCTAAGCTTATCTTGTCAGCACTGGCTGGTGGAGCACACTGTGAGTAGCGTCTGCTGGCAGTTCCATCCCTCCCCTTGCTTGGGAAAGAAAGGCTCTGAAAGCAGGGTGCTGAAACCAGGCTGTGGAGTAAGAATCTGTCTTCTTAACATAAACTTTTACACATGATGAGCTTCCTCCAACTGCAGGAAAATATTTTTCACATCTAGAGAGAAGCTGGCCCTGTATGATGCCACTGAAGACTTGGTGAAGGAATGAAGCCTGAGGTTTCACTCTCACAGGGCCACCCTTTAAGGAGCAGTCTTTCATTCTCAGGAGTATGGCATGGGGAGGTGAAGGGAGATGTGGCCCACGGAAGGAAGTTTCCCTCATTCCAATCCATCCTGCCCCCAAAACCAACATTCTTACAGCATAGTTCAGCACCTTCCACAAGAGCTGTATGTTGTCTG